TTGCATAAAATTACATACAAAGTAATCTAAATAGTATGTAAAACGAGCAAAATCAGTGCACTCACAGTGACACAAATCTGCACAAACAGTCAAATTAAAAAACTAGAATATACACTCTGAGCTTTGAATAACTACAATATCTTTAAGATAGATTTGTTCTATCTCGGTGCTCAAAGTTGATGAGTAACTACCTCCTAAGATAAAACGGATTTCGTCTTTGTAGAAGTAACAATTCAATCTCCAAAGACCAAAGAACACAACTTGTGTTTATACTTGAATTGAACAATGAATAGAATGCAGAAAGAGAGAGAGAGATAATGTCTCAATATGCAGAAATTCGTGTATTGAATTCGTATCTGGAAATGACAGAGAGGCAGTCTATTTATAGACTCCTCGTGTTTGTTTGAATCACCTGAAGAGAAGCACTTAGGGGCCGTTTGGATCGAAGAGATAGGCCCTTTGATCTGAACAACTGTAAAATGGAAAGGCACGGGATGAATAGATATGAACAAGAACGATGCGAAATTTGAAGTCTAACGGACCAAAAAAAAATTTGAATTTCAGTTCAAAGGCTAAGATCGATCCGCGATCTAGACCATTTGGATTGACCCACAACCTGCACTGCTCCAAACGAATTTTGTCCAAAAAGATTTCATCTTTTTGACCCAAGCTCAGCCCATTCGAGTCATGGCGGGCAAGCGGCTCGTGTGTGATAATCCAAGGTTGTGTAAGTGCTCACCTGCTCACAAAATTGCAGTGCCCCAAGAGCCCAAACTCAAATGTCAAACTAGGAGTATATTAAGTTATTAACACACCAAGTTGTTGACAATTTTCCACTATGGGACAAGCGTGCCACACTACACCAATCTTAGCCTATTCCATCAATTCAAGTGGGTTACTTTGAGACATAATTTCTCATTCAAATGTTAATGATTTTGGACAAATAAATTATCATGTTTAAACTTAGTCCTACCAATTTTGAGACGTGGGTCTCACTTTAATTCAAGTCCAAGGTTGCTTAAATACACTTTATCAAAACCATTTTTTTCCAACAGTATCCTAGTTGAAATTTTTTAAATTTATGACAATTGGCAGCTTTAAGTGATCAATTTAATTTAAATTAATTTTATTATCATATTTATTAAATGTAAAGTACAATATGATAATAGTGATTATGATTTATGTTATGAATTAAACTGATTTGATATATCGTAATTTTTTATTATATAAAAATATATTTTAGATATATTTTCAAAATAAAGAGTGGAATGGTAAAACTGAAAATTAATTTATTTTCAAACGTCAGCTCTGTGTAGTTATCAAACTGTTTGGTTCAATTCAGCACTTAAATTTCAATAGGTACCAAACAATTCACGAATTCAGTATTTAACTTTTAAACTTCAATTTTCAGTTTTATCAAATACTGCCTAAGTATCACCGTAACTAGGTGTAATACAAAAAAAATGGACTCAGCAATAAATACAAAATTTATCATTGTAAAAATACTCCAACAGAACAAAATAATTATAATATCAAATTAATTCCCTACATTAGCAAAATTAACCTGTTTGTTAACCCCTTCCACCCTCCATCTTCTTCTTCTTCCCCTCATTCTCCCTCGCATACAACCTCAACCACTGGGTAATCACTATAATTAAAACCCTACCCATGATAGTGGTTTTGAACCTATTCAAAAGGTAAGAAATACATAGTTACTCACACGTGACACCATCTGTGCTTAGAACAAGTGCAAAATTTTTGTTTAACTTTTCATAACTATGAGAAATATTTTGAATTCAAAATTTGGGATCTCAAATAAGCTACGACTTTTGGATGAGTAGATCTCGTTAAAAAAAAAAAAGGTAAAGGACCCTACTGACCCAAGGGTCTCTTTGCATTTGGGGTGCCATTTGAGATTGCTAGCATTGCTCATAAGCTATATGCTTTTGAGAAGCTATTTTTGGAATATGCTACTTCTGAAGATATTGTTTACCTTCAAATGTTGTAAAACGAATATATAATGAACTTCTCACGTATTTGTTGATTTTCAGGTAGGCATAGAAGGTTACGGTGGTTGGAGGTTCATAAAAAACAGATTGGGAGGAGGAGGAAGAAGGAGGAGAACTGGGTAGAAATAAACAGTGTGTGTGTGTGTGTTTGGGGGGGGGGGGGTTAATAAAGCCATTTTGATTGAACTTTTTGAGGTGTTAATTTTAGTTAAAACCATACACTTCAAGTTCCATATCAAGTAAACCCAAAATACTTCGGAAAACAAAAAATAAAAAAAGTGAACATTAATTTGCACTTCTACAGATTTTTTCACAAACATAATTAATCAACAGTCTTCAAAATAAAATTGAAATGACAAACAAGTGACAACACACCACTTCCCCAAATAGAACAAAACATGTAACCCTAACAGATACTTCAACCGGTAATAGGGAAAACGTCATAAATTTGAATTTTGATAATTTATTGAAGTATAATCCCAGTGTAAATGGTATGTCTTTGACCGAAAAAACAAATAAACATGTAAATATCTCAGTCACACATAAGACATTTCGAGTCAAACTTTCAATTATTAAAATGTAATAAGTTCCTCGAAGATCTTCATGGCAGAAGTTGGCAAACCCACAAGCACATTAATGCTTTTCATATCTTTCCCGTATGGTTGCAAACAAATCAATTCATTCGCATGAAAAGAGGCAACCCCAGTTGTGAGAGGTTCTCCCCAACCGAAGTCTGTGGTGTGGAATTGTAGCTTATACCATGCAACAATCACAAGTGTTGCAGTTAGAGAAGGAGCTTTAGCTCTTTTTACTTCAAAATAGTCTATGCCCGACCTTATGTAACCATCTGTGATCATATTAACAGCCTCTTGAATTAGTCCCACCACATATGACAATGGCTTCTCCATTATCTCTGCTGCAGTGCTCAGTGAATATGCTTTCACAATCCCATTACCGACGTACCCTTCTGGTATCGGCGGATTGAGCCGAGGCCGAACATCGACTGGAAAGAGGAGCCTTACTTGTTGATCCGGACGCAGTTTTAAAGCCTTACATCGAGCCCTCCAGATAAACGCTGCGAGACCTTCAAATGTAGTAAACTTGCCTAGAACTCCATTCTCCATCGCTTTTATCTTGATCTGATTGAGCTTCTCAGGGCTAAAAATAAAAGACTTGTGGATGATTTCTTCGTTATCAAGATCATTGGTGTTTGATATATCCTTAATTTCGTCGAATTCGTGATGTGGGAACTCAATCTTAGGGGGTTTGCGAGCTTTGAGTATGGTTCTGTCTAGGTGTGGAAGTACCTTTATTGACAAGCCCCTGGCAGTTTCACCCCATGAGTTCAGAAATTGCATAGCAGAAATCCCATCAAGAAGACAATGGTTCACGCATGTCCCCAGAACAAATCCTCCACATTTGAACTTGGTCACCTGGAATATAAATTTGAAACGGGATAATATATAGGCTCACATACCATGTGACCAAACCCATCATTAATAAATTTGTGCTAAATGTGACACTTATCAAGTGTCAGAAACATCTCATCACACAATTTTTGATACAATACATTAACGGCAATACATTATTTTAATACAAAATTAGTGGGCTAAAGTTGATAGTTCTCAACATAAGCTAGAAAATGACAAATGTCAAACACCACTAACCGAATTTTGAAACGATAAACATGTTTGCTGGCATAGTAGGAAAAAAATTTCCAATTTTTGTTTTTATTTTTCATTGCATGATCTAGTATTATGCAAATTCTCTTAGAATTAGAAAATGATATACCTGATTTTGCAAGTATTTGGACCAATTGGACCTTCCTTATGAAAAGACTATGACTGGTTGATATGGTTGAGAGAGACAATGGCAATTATGAATATGTGGTTCATGTGTTATGCATGTCAACATGAAATGAAATGATTAATAAATAGGTTGAGTCATTAGCATATCATCTCATTAATTATACACGACTGTTGCCCTTCATCAAGTGTAAATATATGAGAATTTCCATGTGTTTATGGTTAACTATGATGTTTGACAAGGAGTTGGAGAAAGTAACTAACCTGTGCCATTATAGGAGGAACCTCTAGTAGGCCTTTGGCACTAGGAATGTCATAAAACAGCTTCCCATGAACCAAAGGATCAGGCATTCTATTGTCACCTATAACTTCAATTGTACAGTTAGCCTCAGCCTCGACAAAAACAACCCCTTCTCCATTGCAATCTACTGTAAGCTTTCCATCTGTGCATGTTGAAAGCCTCCCGGCAAGTGGGTAGTAAGGAACAAGAACCTTTGACAAAGCATCCTTAATTACTTCTGCAGATTGTTCATTGCCTCTCTCCATTGACCTGTAGCAATAAATGGTTCGAATTATGGTGGTGAAGTTCTGGTCAAGGTTGGAGAGGAAGTATAGACCCTTGGGTGTCTCCTCTGCAGGTGTAACCAAAGTTGGGTTTCCTCTCTTCACTGTGAGTACTTCAGAGCCCATCTCATTGGTGTTCTCCATTGGAAGAACGACCTCTCACTCCAAAACCTGAATCCCAAGCAGACATGCTGTCAATACATCTTGTCTTATAGAGATTTTAAGTCATGTAAGTATTATCGTGTTAAAATATGTTCAATTCAATCACCAATTATTCATATTAATTTTTGACCGTAAACTTCAATTTGAATTCCTTATATAATTATTGATTATAAAAATAATAAAATTATAAAAATATGTGTTACATTTTACTAATTGAAATAAAGATTGTACGATTTCTTTGTGAAGCGTGTAAAATAAAGAATCAAAATACACTGTAGGTTCACTCACCTAAAACACGAGTCTGTTGTTGCAGTGAACCTCACTCTTGTGTTTTAGATAAACTATCTTGTTTTGGGTAATTGTTTTGCTTAGATTTGGGTAAATTTTTATGATTAGTAATTGATAATGCTCTTAAGACACTCCCGTTCTAAGAATTTTTGGAATTTTGCTACTTCCACCTCAAGTCTACTTCCGCTCTATGTGACTTAATTTTTGCCTATCCAATGTGAGATTGGTATTAAATCATACATGTCAAACTCTATTTATATATTTCAAGTGAATTACTTTGGAATCTATTTTCTCATTCAACTTTTATTCGATTTGAACAATTGAATATACTAGGTTGATCTACATTCAGAATAGAACACAAACCCCTGAAATTCTACTCAAAATGATGTCCCCAGGGGCGGAGGCAGGATGGGGGCAAATTGCCTCCACTGAAATTTTGAAAATTTGTAGGGTTAATTTAAAATTATAATAAAAATTAAATTTTTTAATCACTTGATACCACTCATTTTTTGTAATGAACTAAAAACTTAGACTCAAGGTTCGCTCATACAGATTTAATCTCACAATTTTTTATTTAATCTTTAGTTATCTTTATTCCTTTTACAATGACTCACTTAAGTTATCGAATCAATTCTTCTTCGAATTCGATTACTAAGACATAGATTAATATTTTTGACCAATTGTCCAAATTCAAACATACTACATCATTTTCTAGGATTTTAGATTTGGGCACATAAAAAAATTGATCTAATTATGATTNTTAGAATTAGAAAATGATATACCTGATTTTGCAAGTATTTGGACCAATTGGACCTTCCTTATGAAAAGACTATGACTGGTTGATATGGTTGAGAGAGACAATGGCAATTATGAATATGTGGTTCATGTGTTATGCATGTCAACATGAAATGAAATGATTAATAAATAGGTTGAGTCATTAGCATATCATCTCATTAATTATACACGACTGTTGCCCTTCATCAAGTGTAAATATATGAGAATTTCCATGTGTTTATGGTTAACTATGATGTTTGACAAGGAGTTGGAGAAAGTAACTAACCTGTGCCATTATAGGAGGAACCTCTAGTAGGCCTTTGGCACTAGGAATGTCATAAAACAGCTTCCCATGAACCAAAGGATCAGGCATTCTATTGTCACCTATAACTTCAATTGTACAGTTAGCCTCAGCCTCGACAAAAACAACCCCTTCTCCATTGCAATCTACTGTAAGCTTTCCATCTGTGCATGTTGAAAGCCTCCCGGCAAGTGGGTAGTAAGGAACAAGAACCTTTGACAAAGCATCCTTAATTACTTCTGCAGATTGTTCATTGCCTCTCTCCATTGACCTGTAGCAATAAATGGTTCGAATTATGGTGGTGAAGTTCTGGTCAAGGTTGGAGAGGAAGTATAGACCCTTGGGTGTCTCCTCTGCAGGTGTAACCAAAGTTGGGTTTCCTCTCTTCACTGTGAGTACTTCAGAGCCCATCTCATTGGTGTTCTCCATTGGAAGAACGACCTCTCACTCCAAAACCTGAATCCCAAGCAGACATGCTGTCAATACATCTTGTCTTATAGAGATTTTAAGTCATGTAAGTATTATCGTGTTAAAATATGTTCAATTCAATCACCAATTATTCATATTAATTTTTGACCGTAAACTTCAATTTGAATTCCTTATATAATTATTGATTATAAAAATAATAAAATTATAAAAATATGTGTTACATTTTACTAATTGAAATAAAGATTGTACGATTTCTTTGTGAAGCGTGTAAAATAAAGAATCAAAATACACTGTAGGTTCACTCACCTAAAACACGAGTCTGTTGTTGCAGTGAACCTCACTCTTGTGTTTTAGATAAACTATCTTGTTTTGGGTAATTGTTTTGCTTAGATTTGGGTAAATTTTTATGATTAGTAATTGATAATGCTCTTAAGACACTCCCGTTCTAAGAATTTTTGGAATTTTGCTACTTCCACCTCAAGTCTACTTCCGCTCTATGTGACTTAATTTTTGCCTATCCAATGTGAGATTGGTATTAAATCATACATGTCAAACTCTATTTATATATTTCAAGTGAATTACTTTGGAATCTATTTTCTCATTCAACTTTTATTCGATTTGAACAATTGAATATACTAGGTTGATCTACATTCAGAATAGAACACAAACCCCTGAAATTCTACTCAAAATGATGTCCCCAGGGGCGGAGGCAGGATGGGGGCAAATTGCCTCCACTGAAATTTTGAAAATTTGTAGGGTTAATTTAAAATTATAATAAAAATTAAATTTTTTAATCACTTGATACCACTCATTTTTTGTAATGAACTAAAAACTTAGACTCAAGGTTCGCTCATACAGATTTAATCTCACAATTTTTTATTTAATCTTTAGTTATCTTTATTCCTTTTACAATGACTCACTTAAGTTATCGAATCAATTCTTCTTCGAATTCGATTACTAAGACATAGATTAATATTTTTGACCAATTGTCCAAATTCAAACATACTACATCATTTTCTAGGATTTTAGATTTGGGCACATAAAAAAATTGATCTAATTATGATTCAATTCAATTCACTTCGATTCATCAATTCAATTCACTTCGATTCATCAATTCAATTCACTTCGATTCATCAATTCAATTCACTTCGATTTAATTTGATATGCATACACAAATACGTATATGTAAGCATTGATAAAACTAAGCGATTAAATTGAATGAAAATTACAATGCGATACACACGCACGCTTTGGCTCCCCCCCTTGTGTGTCTCACTTTAATTTAGACTCAAATTTGACAAAAAAAATCAATTACTTTTTCACTTACAAAAAACAGTTTTGCCCAACAATTAAAGCACTGTGAGCAACAGAACACATAACACATGAAATTTTGCATATTCTATCTCTTATAAAGCATGACAACCCTATTAATGATGCAACCAAAGTAAAAGTTGTAAAGCTTAGATTAGATGTAACTAAATCCACTGAAAATAAGATTTCTTTGGCTAGTTATGAGCCATAGCTATTAAAACCTCCAAAAAAGCATATTTTTACAAGCATAAAAAGAAGTCTTACGTTCTCAGGCTGCAAAGAACATCCTCGTCTTAGGCTCTTTCACAACCCTGTGTGAGGTGAGAGTGAGAGCGAGAGCGAGACTCTGAAACCTGTTGAAGTGTGTTTTTTTTCTTCCTTTTGGGAAAGGTGTGGAAGTGTTAATCAATGAATATCTGTTCGTCAAACAACTTTAAGAGACACTGGTCCCCTGGCACATGGGTTTGTTTGTATGAATCTTAAAAACGATATAGCACCATCATAACCCCCCACCCAAAAGAAAAAAAATGGTACGGTATGAAAAATTATTTTTTCAGTCACCTTTTAATTGTGACTATTTATGATCGATCATAATATTTTATTATTAATTATTAATAACCTCAATTTTAGAAAGTGTAACATAATCTTAAAAAATTTTGAAATTTTTGATGGGTCAAGCCCAAGGGTCCGACACACGTTGTAAGCCCAGTTTAAATTAAGAACTCAACTTAAGAACAATCCAGTAAGTTCAGTCCAAAGGGGTCCACGCCTGGTCAAACTCATCAGGGGTCGAAGAACTACATCATCAAGGGAGTATGCAGGGTCATCCGAGAGCCTCATCCACGCCGCCTTAGAAAAAGTCAATCCCCACGTCATCCTTTGACCGAATCTTATGAAGAGCACCGTAACTACCTCATCCTTTGAAAAGAGGTCGTCAGCTCCACCAGATTAGGCACTTAGTTATTAATAACTCGTCTCAATCTGTTATGAGGCGACTATAAATTGTAAGTCCCACCAACACTTGGGGGCATCACACTCAGTCGAGCACATCTCTCCTATCTCTCTCAGCTTGCAACTCTCTGTTTTCTTTACACACTTGAAGTAATAAAGTACCTCGATGATCCTAGTCATGCAAAGAAGACGTAGATCACGTTGACTGAACCATTACAAATTCTTGTGTATCTCTTAATTACTGCATTTATCACTTTTTATCTGACAGGTAATGTGTAAACCCAATTTGTGCGTCATCAATTTTTATGATCAACTATTGTATTTTAGGATTAATTACATCATCCGCGGTTATAATTTTGAGGTACGTCCATCCGTTTGCTGTAGTCTTCCTTTTAATAGTAATTTTCATACTATACCAAAAGTTATTAAGAGCTCTGATTTTATTTGATGAATTTGCAACCATTGATTTTAAAAATAGTAACACTAAAATAACAAAATAGTTTTTTTTATGTGTCATTCTTTTATTAGTACACAGAAAAATAATTTTGGCCTACAAATCATAAATGCCTCCGATAGACAAGACATGACCATGTAGAGCAGAATCATTGAATGTTTACCTGTACACAAAGAAGCACCAGATACACATAAATTCTAGGGCAAATTTCATTTTACCCCCTTGTGGTTTGTTCTTAGAGCACATTACCCCCTTATCGTTTAAAAAATAAGCAGATAACTCCCTTATGCTTTAGGACCAAACTGAACAGCTAACACCGTTAACAGAGATAGAAAACAAAACATTCATATCCCTCGGTGTCTTCCATCCTATCTTCCTTTTCTCTTCAATTAAACAACAAAATAACCACCACCACCTCCATTCCACTGCCTACATCCACCATGATTATTTGCTTATTTTTATACAATGAGGGTGCGATGTGTTCTAAGGCCAAACCTGAGGTAAAATGAAGTATATCCTATATTCTAAGATTATAAGGAAATTTAGCATCCTAGTCTTATCCTTAAATTTCAATTGGTATCATAGCCTTATCCTTAAATAACACGCCTAATATTTTTTTTTATCTTTCACTCTTCCATTTGCATCGTTCTCTTGTGAAAGGGAAAAAAAAATCAAACAAATTCTACAATACAAAAAACACAAAAATAATTTTTTAAAAATAATTTTTGAAAACTGTTTTTTAAAATACAAACCAATCATGAGTCTGGTTTCTAGTGACCAAAAATCTCCAAAGGTTGACTTTTTTGTTGTGAGACATAGAAGGGTTAATGAGCTCAAACTTAATTGTAAAATGCAACAAACATTAATAAGCTAACATATCATTGTCAGAGGTTTTTATATATCGAAATATTTTGGCTAAAGGTCTACGNTCTCTCAGCTTGCAACTCTCTGTTTTCTTTACACACTTGAAGTAATAAAGTACCTCGATGATCCTAGTCATGCAAAGAAGACGTAGATCACGTTGACTGAACCATTACAAATTCTTGTGTATCTCTTAATTACTGCATTTATCATTTTTTATCTGACAGGTAATGTGTAAACCCAATTTGTACGTCATCATTTTTTATGATCAACTATTGTATTTTAGGATTAATTACATCATCCGCGGTTATAATTTTGAGGTACGTCCATCCGTTTGCTGTAGTCTTCCTTTTAATAGTAATTTTCATACTATACCAAAAGTTATTAAGAGCTCTGATTTTATTTGATGAATTTGCAACCATTGATTTTAAAAATAGTAACACTAAAATAACAAAATAGTTTTTTTTATGTGTCATTCTTTTATTAGTACACAGAAAAATAATTTTGGCCTACAAATCATAAATGCCTCCGATAGACAAGACATGACCATGTAGAGCAGAATCATTGAATGTTTACCTGTACACAAAGAAGCACCAGATACACATAAATTCTAGGGCAAATTTCATTTTACCCCCTTGTGGTTTTGTTCTTAGAGCACACTACCCCCTTATCGTTTAAAAAATAAGCAGATAACTCCCTTATGCTTTAGGACCAAACTGAACAGCTAACACCGTTAACAGAGATAGAAAACAAAACATTCATATCCCTCGGTGTCTTCCATCCTATCTTCCTTTTCTCTTCAATTAAACAACAAAATAACCACCACCACCTCCATTCCACTGCCTACATCCACCATGATTATTTGCTTATTTTTATACAATGAGGGTGCGATGTGTTCTAAGGCCAAACCTGAGGTAAAATGAAGTATATCCTATATTCTAAGATTATAAGGAAATTTAGCATCCTAGTCTTATCCTTAAATTTCAATTGGTATCATAGCCTTAACCTTAAATAACACGCCTAATATTTTTTTTATCTTCCACTCTTCCATTTGCATCGTTCTCTTATGAAAGGGAAAAAAAAATCAAACAAATTCTGCAATACAAAAAACACTAAAAATAATTTTTGAAAACCGTTTTTTAAAATACAAAACAAACATGAGTCTGGTTTCTAGTGACCAAAAATCTCCAAAGGTTGACTTTTTTGTTGTGAGACATAGAAGGATTAATGAGCTCAAACTTAATTGTAAAATGCAACAAACATTAATAAGCTAACATATTATTGTCAGAGGATTTTATATATCGAAATATTTTGGCTAAAGGTCTATGGAGACNTTTTTTTTTTTAAAAAAAAAAAAATAGATAACGTCAAGAGCAGACTTAAAACCGTCAGGATAATGTTGTATGAAATCTACGGTATTACAATTCACTATAGTTTGCCAACCTTTGAATGGCTGATGTGAGTGATGTCCATAATTTCTGGTGTAATAATCTATTCAAGTATTCGAGACTTTCGATTGACTAATATTGTTGATTTTTGTCAAGTCAAATGATAGCTGAGCTCAATAATTTTTAGGGTTAATTACACTGGAAATTATTAAAATATGAAGTTTGTCTCATTTTGATCCTTAATATTTTAATTGCATCATTTTAGTCTCTGAAGTATTGAATATGTTTCTATATGATCCCTCAAACAGACAGCGTCTAGATTTCTAACGATTTTTTTATCGTAAATTTATCATGTGATACTTAAATATGAATAAAAAAAATAATTTGGATATCTCTTGACCAAATTTTTCCTCAAATTTTGGTCAGATAGCTACCTAAATTACATAATTTTGATCATATGCTATCCAAATTTTGATCAAAAGCTATCCATAATACACATTTTTTTTGTCAAGAGTTATCAAAATTTTTGTTTAAGAGCTATAAAAGTTATTTTTTGTCCATATTTAGGTATTACATGATAAGTTTATGATAAAAAATTCTTAACAATTCGGACGTTGTCTTCTTGAAAGACCATATAAAAACATATTCAATATTTCAAAGACTAAAATGATGCAATTGAAATATTGAGGACCAAAATAAGACAAATCTTATACTTTGATGCAATTAACCTTTATTTTAATAATAATGAGTGAGTTTTTACGGGTTAGACGTAGACAATTATTTATATCAATAATCTTTTGTATTCACATTTTAAAGTACTAGCAAAAAAATACATGGCACATATAGAAAAATTATAGTCAAAATGTTTTTAAAACTTATAATATAAATAAAACAATACAACTAAAAAATATTAAGGAAATGCTAAAATATGTCATTAGATTAAGAACAATAATCGTATAAATTTTTGAAGTGTTTGACTTGTTCTTTTTATTTCTCCATGGTATGCTAAAATTTAAAGACCATTCATATCATCTACTATGTTATATATGTACATTGGAGTTGTCTATAGTATCGGGAAAAAAAATTGATATCATACCGATATTTATAACTTTTGAGGGTATTTTAATTACTGTTGTAGGTGTTTTTATTACTATTGTGGTACCAAAAAAAATAGTAAGAATAGTTACCACAAGAATAATAAAAATACCTAAAAAATGGTAAATTACCCCTAAAAGTAATAATATTTTTTTTACCTAAAAAAAGTGGTAAAAATAGTTATCATAGAAGTAATAAAAAAATTTTGTTGTAAAAATACCCATACAAAATATATAAATACCGACAAAAAGTAATAAATTTTAGATGTATGATACATAATATTTTTATTTCATGTCTATGTAAAATATAGATCTTTTAGTATTTCTATGAAAATAGTCGATGAGATTAATGACTTTTGTGTACATAGGTGACACTTTATTGGGTGGTTTCTCCTTCAATTTCAAACGTCATCTAGTTTGGTCCTTATTAATCAAACATGTTGAGGCGGATGAACTGCATATAGACTTTATATTTGGTATTAGTCGAATAAAAAATGTTTGATTTCAGATTCAACTGACAATTGTTAGTTCAGACACTTTTATCACTAAATCAGACAGTTCTTTCTCTTATCCTAATAAAATTTATTTTATATTTTCTCTAATTTTTCTTTTTTTCTTACTATAATTTGTTTTGTGCTTTCTCTAATTTTACTTCTTTTTTTTTTCTTGGTGTTCGATCTAACCTAAGTGATTTGATGCGGCCACCAAGAGCTCTATCCTCCCTTCAAGGCTTATTTGAGCCTTGATGCTTGATGTTGATGCCAATACTCTTCGATTGATAATGACAAGTAGCTTGTAGAACTTAGAAAGAGCCCGACAAGCATGGCAAGAAAAAACCTAAATGATGAAAGTAAAAAATATACGTATTTCAATAATATTACGTCGACTAAAAATAAGACAAACAAAACTGTGCGNCTAATTTTACTTCTTTTTTTTTTCTTGGTGTTCGATCTAACCTAAGTGATTTGATGTGGCCACCAAGAGCTCTATCCTCCCTTCATGGCTTATTTGAGCCTTGATGCTTGATGTTGATGCCAATACTCTTCGATTGATAATGACAAGTAGCTCGTAGAACTTAGAAAGAGCCCGACAAGCATGGCAAGAAAAAACCTAAATGATGAAAGTAAAAAATATGCGTATTTCAATAATATTACGTCGACTAAAAATAAGACAAACAAAACTGTGCGTTTCGTGTTAAGTTGTAACTCATGCATTTAAGAGAGGTTACATGTCATGGCCTCCTTTCTTTAATTTATTTCATTTTTTTGGCACAATGGGGATACTAAAATTACGATCTCCTNCATGGCCTCCTTTCTTTAATTTATTTCATTTTTTTGGCACAATGGGGATACTAAAACTACGATCTCCTTTTTTTTTTTTGGTATGAATTAAAAGCTACGATATGATAAAATTAAATTATGATTTAAAAACGTTAAGTTTCGACTTAATCAATCCCCATTTTTTTATGATTGATCATAAATTTTTAAAACTTAATGAATACTAACTTCGACATTATTTACTAGTAATTTGATTTTTTGGATCAAAGTTGTCTCTTTTTTTTTTCAAACTTGAGTTTTGCTCCTTTGTAATAGGATAATCTTAGACTGACCCAAAAAAAAGATTAAAATTAAAAATCAAGTAATGTGACACTAAAATAATAAATAAATTTTAAATTTAAATAAGAAAAATAGAACAAAAAATACTTCTATATTCCCGCCTCATCATTTGGTTTTTATTTTTTGGTCTTATTTTTTGATCAGTCTATTTGTATGGTTTGTAAAAGGTATGTTTTAGTTGACAAACTTAGCCAAGATAAATAAATTATTATTTGAATTTAACTCATTTGTTACACAAATTTTAAAGGTGAATTAGAGTTCCATTCATTGTATAATTTGACAGTTTATTTTAATCCACATGGATATTATTGAGAGAGCAATGTTACAAAATTCAAATGAAATCTAAAAAATTGTAATTCAAATACATATCATCTCTGAGATAGTGGGTTCCATCAATTTTTCAATAGGGTCCACTCGTTTCATACTCATCCAATAGATGATATACATTTAAGTTTGAACTTTTAAATTTCATTTGAGTTATGTAGTATTTTTTTGATTGAAATAACTCCTCCGTTTACAGTGGTAACAGTAAGTCTATCTATTATGACCATTCAAAGCTCTAATAAGTCGAGGCTAGTTAAGCCTATTAATTATGTCGAATGAGACGGGTTCGTATTAAAAAATATTTTATTTATATCTGATTTATTTATTATTTTGTGTCTAACGAGTTGTGTCATATCGGGTTCGTGTTGTTTATAAACTGTGTATAACAAGTATATAAATGAATCGTATCGTATTTTTTTTTAATTGACTTCACTCATACCTGATTTTTTTTATTAATTGTGTCTGGTACACTCATTTAAAGAAAACTCAAACCCTCTACTTTTCTATTGTTTTTAACAAATCGTGTTATATTTTGATATTCTACATAGCTCAAGTAGTAGCAAGTACGAACTATAAACTCAAACATCCTGAACTTGAATTTTGACAACTCATTGAGATCAAGTCATGAAGGATTTAATATTCTAGTCCCAATGTAGATATATATGTTTTTTTTATCAAAATAAAGAAAAAAATATACAAGACACGTGTAATTTGATCAAAGACCAATAAAAAAAAAACTCTCTAAGAAGCCATTGAAAACAAAAACTTTAGGCACCCTAAAAGATGAGTAAATATTGTGCGTAAACAGTTACACCACGATAATAATGTTGGTGTGGTATAATCATTCGATAAAAAAATAAAAAAATAGATAAAATAAGGCTCATATTTTATTATAGAGAGATAGTCATGTATTATATGATTGGGTGATTATGAAATTTTATAAGGTTTACTTAGTTTATTTATTAATTGATGATTACAAATTTTATTATATTATTTAAAAATATTTAGTCTCTAATAATATATAATTTATTTATAAGCGGGTGACATTAATGACGTGATATTACGGTCGAACTCATACATATATTTTTTTTAATGTTTGTCCATTACACCGGGGCGTTGAAGTGGCTATCTTTTGCCCGTATTACTACTACAAAAGGACTATGTTGAGTTCAACTGGAGGCGGTTACTTCATGATGCGTTGACAAATTCTTAGATATATATTAATAAAGGAGCATCTGTTGATCTATATAAGTTTGGCCTTTCCCATGCAGAGACTGCCCAGTTAGCCAAGCTCTAAACTATATCTCTTCGGAGGTTCTACCTCCTCTTCCTTTCCTTTTTATGTGTTTGGATTCTTCAAACTCTCCTCTTCATAGGTTTGTATTTTCAGTTGAATAGCTCATAGCCATAGTCATTCTTATTCCCTTATTTGAATGATTAAAAGCTTGTTTTTTCAGTTCACTACGACATGATGAGCAATACAAGGCGGCCAACGATGAGGTCCATGTTCAATTTGACCTACGACAGAGGTTGAAAAAAAAAAAAAACAATCTCGAAAGCCACCGAAGAACTCGGCACAGTAAGTGTTTTCGTTGATTGTTTTCTTAGTTTTTTTCCATTCTGGGAATGGAAAATGTAAAGGGTAGTGGAAAGAAGAATTTCATCCTCAAAACATGGGAGCGTTGCCGATCAATCAATGGCAGCCGGAGGAAATCTTTGGCCATGTCCACCGACTGTTTGACAAAAAGCCAATCATGGCACTGCAGCGGCACACAGCCTTCCAAAGATGCCAAGCCCAAAGATAAGAACCAAATTGCACCGGTTGGCTGTTTCACTGTCTATGTTGGGCAGGAGAGACAAAGGTTTGTGATCAAGACCCAGTTTGCTAATCACCCATTATTCAAGATGTTGCTTGAAGACGCTGAATTGGAGTATGGGTACAGCAGTGAAGGCCCTATCTTGCTGCCATGTGAGGTTGATCTCTTCTACAAGGTGTTAGCAGAGATGGACAGTAAAGAAATTCACCATGGCCGAGGCTTCGCATATGGGTCATGCACTCCTTTCAGTCCAGTCAATAGGCTTGGCAAGAGCGACATGGCCAAGGGTTATGGTTCATATGTCCCTCTCACTCCATCGAGATTGTTTAAGATGAATCTCTTTTAAGCCAAAGTTCTTTTTCGTTTCTTGGTGAAGGGTAATTGTCTCATTATGGGGTTGTGAGCTTATTACTACCAGGCAAGCTGTGAATGCCTAGGGGCAGCCAAAGTCTCATTGTGTATTATATGTAGTTCTATAATTATGCAGGAAAATTTTTAGTCTTTTTATTGTTTTGTGTGATACTGGTATGAAATGCAATTTGTGCTCAAGAGAAGCTGACTATCCAGTTTTTATAGTTTTTTTTTTTCTTTTGGGGGGAGGCACGAGGAGTCAAGAATGAGATTTGAACTTACAACCTTAAAATTCAACAACAAGGACGGTGGTCATTAGGCCAACTAGTAACTTAAATAAATCCAATAGATAATTAATAGACTGGTTGATCTCATCTCATCTAACTATGGAGTTCATCAACCATTGAAATTTAGTATTGATTCAATAAGTTCACTAAAGTCACATTATTAGATCAAGAAATTAGATCAAATTTTATGGGCAAGGATTTTCACCTTCCCTATACCAAAAAAATTTGTGATGCATGAATGTTCTAAAACATCAGTGTCTTCTTGCGAGTGTTAGTCAGTTAAATGTAATGCAAAAATCCAATTCACTCCGGGGGAATTAATACATCACTTTACTGTCTATTTGGTTAGCAATTACGACAAACAATTTTTAAATATATACAATCATCTGTAAATCACGTGCATCGAGTAAATCAAACTCTCACAAAAGTTGGATTAGGAATTTGATAAAAAAATCCTCGTGAGTTATCCTGATGGACTAATGATCTCATTTTCAAGTGGAATAAATAAGAATTTTAATTCTGATGACATCCCTCGTAACAAAGTCATCTAGTATTGGACTCCAAAATGATTTTGTTTTCTATTTGCAATTGATTAGCAAAATGAAAGAGTCTAATGTTTTAATGCTTAATTTAAATTAGGCAGCTGTGATAAACGAAGTTCCTATATGTTTATTTTATTTCTTCGAGAAAATGAGTTGTACCTGCTCACCTAGATTGATGAACAGTTTCAACAATCATTTAAGTGAGAAGCACCCAAAGGAGCAATTTTTTAAGCTATTAATTTACACATGAAAATGAAAAGTCTATTAACTTTTGTACTGAATAATGGAATTATTTGTTGAGTTGATACTTATTAATCATAAGAAGATGTCAACCATTTAGGGGTTGTTTGGATAATAATTTTTAAGGTATAGATTGAATTGCATTGGATCTATAAAACCCTTCCAAACCTAACCCTTAAATTTTGTTCATGGAATTAAACATTATACCATATTCAATTCAACGTTTTAGTAAATGACACAAATACAAGTGAGACTTATAAATTAATCACAAAAAAAACTCAAACCCTCCCACCCCATGGGTTTATTGAACCCTTATACATGGATTATCCGTGCGAGCCTATTACAAGCTAGAATTCAAATTCCAACTCTAAAATCTACAACCAAATAAGAAATAAAATAATGCATTAAACTAATTTTTTAAAAAGAAATATAAGAAAAAACCCACTCCATAAAATCCCACTTTCGCTCATGAACCAAACATGCCCTTAGAGTGGTCATATCATGGGCTTCAAAACGATAACACACAAGTAAAGGTTCTAATCTAATGGGGTTTTCAGAGTTTTCTCCCTCTAATTTTCACCTCAAAAAAATAATTTTCTTGAGAAGTGAAATGGTTTCAACTGTGAAAAAGGAACACACTCTCACTCATACTGAAATCAAAACATTCTTCANAACATGCCCTTAGAGTGGTCATATCATGGGCTTCAAAACGATAACACACAAGTAAAAGTTCTAATCTAATGGGGTTTTCAGAGTTTTCTCCCTCTAATTTTCACCTCAAAAAAATAATTTTCTTGAGAAGTGAAATGATTTCAACTGTGAAAAAGGAACACTCTCACTCATACTGATATCAAAACATTCTTAACACCATTGAAACCCGAAAGATACAAAAAGAGGTTTGCGTAAGGTGCTCGATCAATTCTGCTCAATCCTGGCAAACCCAAAAAAACAGATACTTGAGCTCAACAACTTGCTACCTTAACTCAACCGCAAGAAATCTCCTTACTTAAAAAAATACTAGAGTTAAAGAGGGANGAGCTCAACAACTTGCTACCTTAACTCAACCGCAAGAAATCTCCTTACTTAAAAAATTACTAGAGTTGAAGAGGTANAACTTGCTACCTTAACTCAACCGCAAGAAATCTCCTTACTTAAAAAAATACTAGAGTTGAAGAGGTAATGTTACCAGTACTTAAATAACTTCATAAACTGTTCTCTTATGTTTTATGGTCATAATCAAAACCTCTTCAAAACATTGGCTTGAAGCACCAAACTAGTCTAAATGTACGAGTTCATCAGGCACAGAAGAAAATACTTGCTACTCATTCACCCTATATATAATCCATATCACCTCTGGGAAATTAAAGAATATCACAAAAAATATTGACTAAGTACCAACTACAATGAATCTATGGTTAGGGAATAGAGTCTATATCCTAAAGATGGGGGAAAGACCAGTGTCCAAGATGTTGTCCCTGGACAAAGAGCTAATATCTATGATATGATACAAACCAACCCACACTGGGGCTTTCGTCTGTAACAGTCATGAAACCAAAAGGGGAATGTAGTTAGTAGTTCAAAGGAACTGCTACTGGAAACCCCCGTACATTGATGACCTACAACCTGAGTGAATTCTGTAACCCCAAACAAACCACAAGATTCGTGTAGTTTCCAAACCCACATAAATGACCTAAGCATCATCATCTTTATCTTCATCCTTAACCTCGTCATCAGCAGCATCAGCTTCACCCTCTTCATCCCCGCCCTCTTCATCTTCCTCATCAGTCATGCTACTTATTACATCAGTAATGATAGCTTTCACCTCTGTTTTTCTGTGCATTAGATCCACACCAAAGTGGTTTCCTAACATAATCACATTCAATGGATTAGCTAATTCAAACTCAAAAACTATTCAACATAGCGTGTATATGTATGAGTCATACCAAGTTGCCTTATAATATCAGACAAAGTTGCCTGCATTATAACAAGTGCAGAATTTTGTCAGTGAAGATTCATACCCAGGAAAGAAAAAAAAAAGAGAACAATTTGCAATACTAATTACTCAAAATGGAGTGGTGGGTGAAAACAAGACTTACAGTATTGAAATCCACTTTCTTCAGAATATCTACTATTACTGCATGCATCTCTTCTTTGTTGGGTTCTGCCTTAGCCTTCTTGCTAGCTTTCCTTTTTCCTATTCAACATTTATTCAAAACAATAGATCAAAAAATGCAAGTAGCAATAGCATTTATTTCAAGGAGAGACACAAAAATTTCCAAGAGGAACCCAACAGAAATACTACCCTACATGTGTAATTTTGTTCTAATCTAGAGGATATTTCTGTGACATGACAAGTGACATTAGTATTTCTCAACAAAAAGAAACAGGTTCAAGATGTAAGACATCCAAATATATCATGCATGATAACAATCTTACAACTGGCAGATGACATTCTAAATTAGCTCATGGTTAATCCATGCAATTACCCAGCATAAAAAACAGTGTAATGACCTCAAAGGCTAGGACAGTGGACTAAATACCAAGTTCAAGTGTTGCAGTCCCCAAATAGCAAAACAGAAACATACACACCTTTATCCTTTGCCAAAATCTTTGTCGAACTCTTGCTTGACTGCTTCTTGCTAGAAGGTTTTTCCTTGGCAGGTGAAATCTTGTTCTCACTTTTCTTTTCAACTTTTTGCTTCTTAGTAGAAGACACCTTAGATTTAGAAGTTGAACCAGAAGCTACTTCATCATCACCAGCACGTTTCTTCGAAGCTGGACTGGATTTTTTGGTAGCTTTGACAGGGGTTTTAGCAGCCTTACCAGTGTTTCCCTTTTTGACAGATGTAGATCTCCCCACAGTTTTACCCCTAGAATCCTTCTTTGAACTCTTCTTCAAAGAACTTTTCTCCCTTGGTGTCTGCTTCTTTGGTTCATCTTCCTCTTCCTCTTCCTCTTTGTCTTCCTCCAACTTACTGTCCTCCTCATCACTCTCTGCTTTTGGAACTGCATCCTCGTCATCATCCTCCTGAGAATCACCTTTGCTATCTGATGGTTCAGCTTTATCATCATCTTCCTCTTCTTCCTCAACTTTGGATGAATGTTTCTGCTTCTCCCCAGCTTGATTTGTCTGCTTTTGTTTCTAGAGGAAAAAGAGAATAAGCTAACAAAGAAATAATCACTTCTCAGGGTTTCTTCTTTATTTTTGATTGATGAGTAAGTTTTCTGCTGCTGTTAGCGCTAAGATAATTTGGTTGGTGCGATGCTGGTGAAGAAAGAAATAAACAAGACCATGAAGGGGGTATCACAATGGCATCAATCAGAAAGTTGGAACAGAAAAATGCAAATGACAGANACTTCTCAGGGTTTCTTCTTTATTTTTGATTGATGAGTAAGTTTTCTGCTGCTGTTAGCGCTAAGATAATTTGGTTGGTGCGATGCTGGTGAAGAAAGAAATAAACAAGACCATAAAGGGGGTATCACAATGGCATCAATCAGAAAGTTGGAACAGAAAAATGCAAATGACAGAGCCAAAATTGCAAACAAAACAAGGAAATAACTGGCACATGAAACCAAACAAGAAGCCTCTTTCAAACCATCCTTCTCAGAAAGTTTTTAAACATAAGGACTTAAGGAGTACCCGAAAATATTTTATTACTAAAATAACAATCAGTGCGAGCAAATTGCATCAAGAAGCATAGTTCAGAAAATAACATTTCAAATCTAAAAAGTCCAAGATGAACATGCAAAATAGGTTTTTATAATATGGCACCAGCACAACTCTCTATATAGATAACAAGGTAGTTTCCCCCTATACAGGCAACAATTTNAAATAACAATCAGTGCGAGCAAATTGCATCAAGAAGCATAGTTCAGAAAATAACATCACAAATCTAAAAAGTCCATGATGAACATGCAAAATAGGTTTTTATAATATGGCACCAGCACAACTCTATATAGATAACAAGGTAGTTTCCCCCTATACAGGCAACAATTTATACTGTATAGAGGCAAGATGTTGATCAAATAGTCAGGAAAGCATACATCAAGTTAAATCATTTTCCCACTAGACATCTAATTAATAAGGTAACATGGTGATATTTATACAGCTAAGATAGCTGGTTAAAGTCCAACCTTACTGTTATAAAAGGCACATGGTAATTTAAAGTACAACTGAAAACTAATCTTTTTGTCAGAAAATTTGTAAAACAATACGATACAAGACCTGCCATCAGTTAAAGAAACATATTTAGAGGCAACCCCTGATTTGCACAACATGGTAGGTCGCACACATGGAGACAAAGCATCAACTACAAGAAGTTCATTACTGAAGAAATCCATTATCAGAGTTGAAAAAGAACGGCATATTTGAAGTTTAATATACTACCAGTAAAGTAAAATTGAATCAATTTATTATTCCCTTCTAGCCTCAAATCATGGATTTTAATACTGTTGTTTCTTTTTAGGCACACAAAGCAGATGAGTTCTGATTAAAAGTTCTCGACTATGCTTGTCATCAAAAACTGCATTTTTCAATGATTGGGTAGCCAATGAATCATTCACACACATATCTCATTTAGAAAGAAATGTGACCAAACATCAAAGAAGCCCAGAAACTAAGATCTTCTAGCAATACTCATGGTACCAATGATCTATCTAACACCTTTAAAGTTTACCAAACACTATTCAAATGAAGCCACAATTTGAGGCATTATCCTAACCAGCTAATGATGTCAACTGAAAAGATATTCCTCTGCATTCAAAGTGTAACAATTTTAGATATTTTTGTATTGGAATAATACTTGCAGACAAACCTTGGCCGGTGTTCCAGCAGCTACCTCTGAAGAACTTGTAGTTTTGCTTGGTGTGGCCTTCCTCTTTCTTTTTTTACCTTTCTGAGACCACAATGAACAACCACATTTAGGTCACCCGTCACACAGTAATGGCTCAATGGACAACTCAGCACATCAGAAATTCCAAGAAAACAGAAAGGTGTACTTCGCAGCAGACACACGCTGAAAAATAGAGGGAAAAAGGAGGAAGGGACACCTTTTGCGTATCAGCAAGCAAAGTGTCAGTTGTAGAGTGTGGAGATTCCAGAAACTCCAATAATTTTGCCGAAAGTTCTTCCTGGTAGCATGGTTCAGATTTATCAGATGTTTCAACACACCAATACATGGAATTACTAGAAAATGATGTTGCTTATCTATACTTACCTTTTTTACAGCCGTTTTGTTTATTGTAATGTTGAGGACATCACAAAAATCCAACAATTTTTCTTTAATACATTTGTCCAGCTTCTCCTTAACCTTCGCCCTTTGCCTTTCCTGCTTAAAGGAAAACAAGACCTAAATCCCCAATTCAATTTGAGTGCTCATATTTGTTGTTTATGCATGTATTTAAATCATCTGTGTAGGTGCTTCCACACCCAATGTCCCCCCAACCACCCCCCTCCCCAAAAACAAAAAAAAAAGAGAGAGAAGGATAAAATAAATATAAAGGATGCACATGAAAACTGGTAAATGATGAATAAATAGCCCTTCTCTGAACAATGAGACAATATACCTCATTCTCGACCCACACATAACCAGAAAACTGGCCTATATTTTTCTTCAGATTGTGTACCTGCAAAAGTATATCGTGATCAAAATTTCACAACATAATAGTGTGTGAAGACTAAGGTTCCAGATAATTTACTGATTGGAAAAGGATACCACTCAATTGTGGAGGAAATCAATTTCTAATCAACAAAATCACAAATTTGATTGGCTAATTATGAGATTGAGAAATTAGGAGGTCACCTTTGTTTTCTTTCCAAAAAGAATACTATGAAGCACTTGCAGGTTCTCATCAGGTTTTCTCTTAGATAATTTGAAAGCGACTGAAATAGTTCACAGCATTAGACTAAAACAAGCAAAATCTGCTATTACAAGGAAGTTGAATACACAAGTTAATAACACCATCAAGAAGTAATACATGCAATATAACCCTAACTGCCCTTGTAGATTATGTTACAAGCAAGGCATCAAAAGTTCTGCAAAGTATTATTCTTATAGGGATCCCAGTCCATTAGTAGCACAGATACACAAATTCAAAATGAGTAATTGCCTCTAATCCCCTTTTTCACATCTTTTTTTGTTCACATCCAGTTCATGAATTACAGCAAAAAAAAAGATGTAAATGAACTGTATGAGTAAATATTTAAATGGACAGCACACACAAATGACATTAAAAATCCAAGTGCTGCAATGTGTCAGTGCAATTCTAATTTAGCGAACAAAGTTCAGTGTCAATACTTTTTCGTACTTCTGTAAAATTTTAATAATACAGAATGAAACTGAAATCCAGATATACTCAATATAGCACCCAATATGCCACTAACAACTTATAATGTGTACCTCCTCCCTTAATTTGAAAGAGTAACAGCTATTTAGATCTGTCCACCTTTTGTTACAGTTTTTTCTGTCATCAAGTCCTNATCCAGATATACTCAATATAGCACCCAATATGCCACTAACAACTTATAATGTGTACATCCTCCCTTAATTTGAAAGAGTAACAGCTATTTAGATCTGTCCACCTTTTGTTACAGTTTTTTCTGTCATCAAGTCCTTATTTGAAACACTTGTTTTTTTTTTTTAAGTTTCTGAGGATGGGCCACTTTACTGAAGAGAGATAGAACAATTCAAAAGTCACCATTTTCCTTCTCAATGCTACAAGAAACAAATCAATACACACTTCAAAATGCTTTTTCTTTATAATCTCTTGATGCAACTCATTTATCTACTTCAACTTTCTGCATGTGAAGCATATGTAATAGCATACTTTTTTGCATTCCCAAGAACAAGAAAAACATTGCCATCTTATTTTCTTGTGTCTACATTTGTGAAAGAACAAGAATCAGCCAATATTGATATGACTCAACTGAGTTATATTCAGAACGACATTTTTCATGCCAACAAAGACACAAGATCCAGATAAAGGACAAGTCAAGTAAGACTCATGGTTGAACCAAAGTGACATATGCCAACTCAGCCAAGTCATCGTCATCAGATTGCGATGTATCATCTGACAACATTCCTCAATGCTACACAGTGACTTCAATCTCTGATTATGTGTAACTTATTCTTCTATTAGAATTCCATGTTTATTGAACCATGATGGTAACCTCTCTGGACATCTGTGAATAGTACAATATGAATGGGAAAGTACACAAAGATGACATTGACCCACTAAGGTTCCAATAATGAAGTCCAATATTTTGAATATAAACTAATATTCACAACACCCTATGACTTTGAGGTAATTACACCGCATACAAACATATAGTCAGGTAAGAAAAACAATATTCCACAACAGTGCCGATGCCAAAAAAGAAAAAGGTTAGTGTAGTTTCATCTTGCTACATCTCAGTGCATTAAGAACATAGAAAATGCTTGTTTTCTAATGATACACACTTAGAACATAAAACCTTCACACAAAACTTTGAGAGTCAAGCAAAAAAATTATACCAAAGTTAAAGAGGTTTTATATTTAGAATTGAGAGCACTTCAATCAAAAAGTTGAAAGTGAAACAATAACTACATCAATACCATGGATGCATATGGCTGCAATAAATTTCATCGTCTTAGCATTCTAGCCTTTTCTTTGAGTATTAACTAAAAAAAATCACTACATGCGTCATATTCTGCAGAATAAATGAAGTCCATCTTTGAATACATATTGATGTAGATTTCAAATTGACAAATATAATTCTAGGCTTCAAATGAGTAGTTGATCTTAAAATCCTTAAGCTATGACTTCAAAAGCCTACGAAGCTGACAACCACAGACATGCCACATTTAATAGTCTTTCACAATTCTAAAACAGTAGGAACTCTGGAAAGAACATAAAGAAAGCCCATGTTGCTACATATATATTATAACAATAACGATACCATCGGAGATAATTTGGTATGATGTGCATTCAAAATGGAATTGCCAGCCCCATAACAGAGATGAATATATATAGAGTAAGTGTTTGCATGATCACTAATATACTCATATAACTCAAAAGAAAAACTATATAAAGAGTTCACCAATGTTCTCATGTAGATATATATAATGAAACAGAAAAATTAGTGTACCATTAGGTATATCCTTCAGCAGTGTGCCTCGACCCTGTATTCACACAATATTGACAACAATTAGCCAATAGAAACAAGCAGCGAAGAAAAGGTCATATTTTCTTGTTTTACCTTCTCAATTGACAAGGGTTTGCCAGCAGAACCCCGTCCCGTCGAAGGCTCAGAGTACCGCTCAACAGTCTTCCTCTCCCTCGTGGGCCTGTCAATTGGCGTAACCGGCTCTTTCGAGCTCGAATCAGTCTTTACTTTCTTCTCCGACCTCGGCTCTCTAGCTGCTTTCTTGGAACCAACTCGACCTCTCTTTGAACCTCCAGTCCCTTTCTTGGCTTTCTTGCTTTCTTCTTCGTCTTCGTCTTCCTCCTTACTCTCTCCACCTTTCTCCTCTGTTTCTTCCTTTTCTGGCGAAACCTCCTTCTCTTCCATTTCCAAATCCTCCTCTTTTTCCTCTTCTGCTTCTTTCTCTTCCTCCTCTTCCTTATCTTCCACTTCGTCCTCTGCTTTCTCATGCTCTTTCACCTCACTTTTCTCCTCGACATCAGCTATATCTTCAGGCTTCTCCTCTTCTAGGGTTTCGTTTTCGGACGCCATGGAAACGAACAATCAAGAACAAAACAAAGTACAGATGTAGGTTTGTGTATGTATAGGCCTTCAGAGATCGTAAAACCTAGGTTTTGGAACTGGAAAAAGGACTTACATAGGTGGTTGTGACTAAAGGAAAGGTCAGTGATGCGTGAAATTTTGGGCGAGAGAGAGAGAATTGGGAGGGAGAGTTTGTGAAAGATGGGGTTTTTTCTGGTTCTTTTAACGGTACACGAGGGTTTTGGGAGTGTCGGAGAGAGAGATTGGGTAGAGACAATTAACTGATTTCAGATTTGGGGCAAAATTTTAGGTAAGGGCGGGCTGAATTGGTGGGGACTCGGGGGTTCAAAATTTCGTGAAAATAGTTCTTAGCGGGCTTTGGCTTTTTCGCTCCAATCAGTCCTTCTAGTAGCTTGACTTGCACATAAATCTATAAAATTAAATTAAAAACTAAATTGTTTAGGATTTATTCTGGATCAATTTGGGACAAGATTTTCAGTGCAATGATTTGTTTAATTTATTTGCTCGTGAACGATCTCAAGTCCAAATTTAACCAATTTAACGAGTCAATCCCAAACTAATTATCGTATATTCGAAAAAAGTATTTTAATCAATCGGACGATTAAATAAGTTGAACTATCATCAGCAACCGAACTACAATTTAATTCAATTCAGGAGATAAAAGTGGATAGAATNAAATTTAACCAATTTAACGAGTCAATCCCAAACTAATTATCGTATATTCGAAAAAAATAATTTAATTAATCGGACGGTGAAATAAGTTGAACTATCATCGGCAACTGAACTACAATTTAATTCAATTCAGGAGATAAAAGTGGATAGAATTGAGCCTAGATTAGTCTTAGCAACGAGGAAGATCGTATCATTTTGAAAAAATCAAATGCGATGCTATATTGATAACAATATTACATAAATCACGAATAAACATCATTGTTGTGTCTAAATAAATAAATGAATCGGGAACGTTGGAAAGGATTCCAACAATAATCACTAGTAATTTGGTTAATTGTAAGGTATATCATCTCACATGGTCAATGCCAGGAACACTAATAGAAAGGGTACCAGATCATTACATAAGTAGAAAGTTAAGTTTAAAGTCGAAGNTCATTTTGAAAAAATCAAATGCGATGCTATATTGATAACAATATTACATAAATCACAAATAAACATTATTATTGTGTCTAAATAAATAAATGAATCGGGAACGTTGGAAAGGATTCCAACAATAATCACTAGTAATTTGGTTCTATAACTAACTTTGAATATATTATCAAAAATTTTATTGACTTCAAAATTAAAGTGTCTTCGACCGATTCACCTCAATATCTAACAATTTATTCATTTTACAAGAAGAGCGGTAGAACCTATTTGTTCATTTATTCATAATCGAATTCTTATTAGTTTGTAAGGTTTTCTACCCCTTACAGTTTCTTAAGCAATAAAAAAGCAATTCTACTTCTATAAGTTACTTAAAAATTGTCACAATCCTAAACCCTCTTTTCATATGAACAATTAGCGCCTAAACAATTTTGGACATGTTTGGTATGCAAGTTTAGATGGAATTAAAATAATGGGTTTTGTGGTAATAGTCTAATGCACCTTATAAACTCGTGTTTAATTCAAGATTTTTGAGATTTATAAGAAAAATGAAACTCGACCCACAATGAATAGTGTATTAAAAGTCAAGTATGGGATTAGATGAAACCCGAAGAGTAAGGTTCAAAAGTGAAAAATTAGATTTGAAGAAATAAATATTATTTTACTCAAAAAGTTGTTATTATATTCATCTAATAATAAATATTTTAATAAATTGAATAATATAACCCATGAACCACACATAAATTTATGCCATCTATCAAACATGAAATTTGATAAGATTTGTGATTTAATCTCATGTAAAAATCCCTTGGGTTTGAATTTAAAAGGGTTTTCTAAAACCAATTCAATTCCCCCTTATTGATCATCCAAACATTCCTTGGCTCGGTTTGATTTATGTATACTAGCGGGATTTTAGGTGGCTCTACAGTCCCTTGGTTGACACGTGGAATAATGAAGTCGTTGGGATATCTAAAGGGTGTCGAGCTATAGTGATACGGAGCAGTCGAGTACGACAGCTGACATCGTATTTAATGCGATGTGACCTCTCATTCATGACGGAATAAGTGATAGTGACAAAACAAATAAATGTTTGTCTGCCTTCTGGGAGTCTAAGTCTATTGTCATGATGGCTAAGCATTAATGGCTGATGCGCCGAGATGACGCGATCGACTCTCTCGAGGAACTGTTTCTCCCGAGTATTCAATGCTCAGTTGATGTCGGATGCCGATCTGGGAGATTTGGACACTCAGGGGAGTGACATAAATGCTCGACATTTGGCCGAACATTGACCCTATTTTCTTAGCATTCAATAGGAGGAGACGTGAATAGAAAACACTCATTGTACGAGGAATGGTGTGTCAGATGTAAGATGTTTAGATGGGACTGGAGATCTTTGACAATCATTGTTAATTCAGGTATAAATACTTCTCANGAAAAATCAAAAAATTAGGTCATCATTAGGACATTTGAAAAGGGCAACACCAGAAGTGCAAGTAACCGTCGTTATTAACAAGGCGTGATGATGGAGCCCATAATCTCTTTACGCCACTTGTCTTACACTGCGAAAAGGATGGCGGTTGGGGGGCAGTTAGCGGGACTCTAGGTGGCTCTACAGCCCCGGGTTGACACGTGGAATAATGAAGCCATTGGGATATTCAAAAGGTGTCGAGGAGGTAAACCGAGGTATGGTGAAATGGAACAGTTGAGTACAACAGCTGGCATCGTATTTAATACGATATGACCCCTTATTTATGACGGAATGAGTGATAGTGACAAGACAAATAAATGTGCGTCTGTCAGCACCTGCCCTGTGGGAGTCTAAGCCTATTGTCATGATGGCTAAGCATTAATGGCTGATGCGCTAAGACGATGCGATCGGCTCTCCGAAGGAACTGTTCCCCCCGAGTATTCAATGCTCAGTTGATGTCGAATGTCAATCTGGGGGATTTGGGTACTCGGGAAGTGGCATAAATGCTCGGCATTTGGCCGAGCNGATCGACTCTCTCGAGGAACTGTTTCTCCCGAGTATTCAATGCTCAGTTGATGTCAGATGCCGATCTGGGAGATTTGGACACTCGGGGGAGTGACATAAATGCTCGACATTTGGCCGAACATTGACCCTATTTTCTTAGCATTCAATAGGAGGAGACGTGAGTAGAAAACACTCATTGCACGAGGAATGGTGTGTCATATGTAAGATGTTTAGATGGGACTGGAGATCTTTGACAATCATTGCTAATTCAGGTATAAATACTTCTCAGAAAAATGGACAAAGGTACGCAAACTTGAATCAGAAAAATAGTCCATTGAGCAAAACCCTTCAACCTTATACTGATTTAAGCTTTGGAGGGGATTAGCCGAACGCTCGTCTGACCATCTTTTTTCTAACCTTGTTGTTTCAGGTTCGCCAGCTTAGAGATCGCTGTCTCATACTATTNCTGATTTAAGCTTTGGAGGGGATTAGCCGAACGCTCGTCTGACCATCTTTTTTCTAACCTTGTTGTTTCAGGTTCGCCAGCTTAGAGATCGCTGTCTCATACTATTGCAGAAATTATCCTGTGCAATTTGGCACCGTCTGTAAGAACAAAGGCATTTTTCTCGGTAGCAATCGTCTGATAGTGAACACTCCATCTCAGGGTGAGGGAACAGTTGTACGGCCCAGGAACGCGGAGCTCATCCGACTTTCAATGGTTCTGGAGCCGGGTTCATTGGACCAATTAGATGGGGTAGGGCATTCTTCGCAAAGAACGATGGATCAGGGCCTTGGGGGGCGTAACCTCATAGCCCATGACATCATTGATATGGTGAAAAAGCGGATGGGCAAACACATTAAGCAGATTGAAAGGGAAAACGCCAAAGTCCAACAACGTCTTGACGATTTCGAGCAGTCAGCAAGCGCAGATGAACATAGTCGTAGGTTCGAGGACCAGGTGCCTAGCCAGAACCTGTCCAGACCCCTCTAACATTGGCCCTCCAGGAAAGATTGGATTANGGATGAACATAGTCGTAGGTTCGGGGACCAGGTGCCTAGCCAGAACCTGTCCAGACCCCTCTAGCATTGGCCCTCCAGGAAAGATTGGATTAGGCATTCGCTCGAGGGACGTAACCGCCAAGGAGGGTTCTCGGCCTCAAGGGGAAATCAGAATCGGGCCAGAAGGTAAGCTTGTCCAGGTGGGACCTGCGCCGAGGGATATACGAGGGCGTCGGACCTGCCAAATCACAAGCGGAGTCCATACCCCGAAGGCCTCGAGGAGAAAGATCAAAAAAGGATCTCAGCGTCCCCTTCATTGTTCAGCGCAACCACGAGCCTGAGGTCTACTCTGACGAAATTATCTCACTATTCGTCCCGCCTATCAAGGAGGTCGAGATGCCGAAGAAGTTTACCGTCCCACGATTCAAAGTTTATGATGGGAAAACAGATCCTGTGAGCCACCTTTTGCAATACAGACAATTGATGTCAATCTATGATATTAACCAAAGGGTATTGTGCTGAGTTTTTCCCATAAGCCTAGGGGACACAGGCATGAGATGGTATAAGAACCTTGCTCCTAAGAGCGTTAGGTCTTGGAAACAATTGACAGAGCTCTTCATAGCTCGATTCATCACCAACAGTAAGAAACCGAAGGACATCGGCGCTCTATTTATGCTTGGGCGAAAAGGGGGAGAGACACTTCGACAATATGTTGTCTAGTATTGGGACGAAGTGAATGAAGTGGAGGCATGTTTGGAGGCATTGGTCGCGACGTCATTTAGGCTGGGGCTGTCCCGGGACACTGATTTGTACAAATCGCTGACTAAGAAGGCTCTAACGGACATGAAAAACTTGATGACTCAAATTAACAAATATGCCCGGGTGGAGGAAGAATTTGTCGCGCCCAAAAACAAGATCACGGTATCGAGAAAAAGGGAAATAGAGCAGCCGGCCCAAAGGGGAGGCCCTATTCCACTCCTAACTCGCCTATCCCTCCAGGGAGTGAACACGGTCTTTAATAAGCCCATTCACAGGATACTTCCCAAAATTAAAAACAAACCTTACTTCAAGTGGCCCCCGAGGATGTTTGGAAACCCGTCGACAAGGAATGCGGCCTTCTGTTGTTCGTATCATAAAGATATTGGTCATTTGAAGGAGGATTGCAAGGTTTATAAATACTTCCTTAAACAATTGGTGCAAGACGGACACCTCGGGGAATTCATCAACAGGGATCGTCCCGGCCGATCGACGAGGGAGCGAGCCAAGGTGCCAACTGAT